ATCACAAAATTAGTAATATTCCAAAGTTTCGTTGCGAAATGTTGTAAAATGCGGAAAATATAGCCTTGCGAAATTTGCAATTTTCAGTCATTTTAGATTACAAACGGGAAATTGACAGCCTCAAAGGGTTGGAATATTACTAATTTTGTGATGCTCTTTCAAGCTGTGATGAAATATTTGTTGAGATCAAAATTTAGTCTATTACGCAAGTGGTCAATTTTGGCACATTAACTTTTCAAAAATCACTCGTAGTGTTAATCATTAATTGCACTCCTTCCCGTGTGATTACCTATACTAAATGGTCTTTGCAATTCAATCATACATAATCTTGCATAGGCACTTTAACAAAGCAAATTTCATCAAGGGGAATTGAAATTTGTTCGAGTTAGCGAGGAGTTCGAGCTAAAAATTTAGTCAAATCCAGGGCAAATTGGTTTAGTTCGGGGTTCTGCTGTATTTAGTTCAGTCTGTTATTCATACTTACTGATCAAAGACCAATCTTGTAATATATTCCTTAGGCATTCGTGGCAGTTGATAGGAAAATACGTTTTTCAAACCAATCAACCACATGATGTTTTCTCGAGAGAGTTGTCGTCGCAGCGAGTTACCAACAACGTGAAATTCGATGACACCTCTTTTCTCTTCACAACGTGCTGCCTCGTCTCGTGCACTGTGCTGTCCAGGGTATAAACCACGCTGCAAAAATTGAATCGTATATTTACTCGGTTGACCGTCTGCTGCACTTAAGGCCATTCTTATTTTTTTTTGGATTACGGATTTCTCGACCTTGTATTCTTAAATCCCAGAAGAAACACACACTTGCCGCCAACAGTTTCATGTGTTGTTGTTTTCTTCGACCGTATTTTAGAAACTGTCAGTACCTAATTATTTTTTCGAGCAAGACATACAAAAACATAGATGTGGGAGAATAAAGTTAGCTTGACGTGCATGCAAAATCTTCGTAACCTGTCACGGTCACCGTGGTATTAGATCACAGACAATTCTTTCTTTCCATTTCTTCCCATCCCACCCATCGATATTGGTGAGCAAATTCCGTAAATCAAAAAAAATAACCGTGCCCTAATCTAGGCATATACAGTTCATATATACTGTATACTTGAAACATAAACTGCTACAAAACCGGAAAAAATCTTTCGCACCGAAAGTATTATTTTGGGAAATACAAGACACACTTCATATCGTGATAAGTTGTCCTTATTTCAAAGACACATTGTGTAAAAAGTCATTCATCTGACTATGTGGAATTCATTGTCATATCCGGGCAAGCTGACACATTTGCTTGACTGCTGTGGGAGTCGAACCCGCGACCTTTGGTTTTCTTCTAGCAACTGAGCTACGAGGTCAAGTCGGTTCGAGTGCATGGGACTACGAGACACCAACCTCATGTAAGCATGCTTAAATATTAATTTATGTTAGCATGTTTCAACAGTGATGTTTGCTTTGCCTAGACGGTTATTGGCCAGTCGATATATGGGCATCACATTTTTTTGAGAACCATGCATGCAGGCTCGCAAAGTTCATGTCAAAATATATCGACCGGACATCAGTCTGGCAAATACATATAGATAGAATAATTTCTAAATATTTGCATTTCCAATTACTATCAGTATTTAATGTCAGAACTTTATATCACCTAAATAGCGGATTATTTTTCTCTATAATTATAAACTTACATACACGCATAGTTTCATCTATTTAAAAAATGAAATACGATCATCTTGAATAGACGTCATCGTATTTTTTAAGGTTACCTCTGGCCCTAACATCTCGTGCTCCTCAGTGACAATAGCAACAATTTGAGCAAAGACCTCTTCAGGTACATCCCCTATAAAACACAAGAACATAACTCACGACATGGTTATATATTTTATCATGAACGACGTGATTGGTTATAGCTCAACTGAATGTACCATACAGCATTCGCGTCATGTGTTGTATGTAAGATGCACAAACACGAGCCGAGGTATACAGTAAGTCATTGCGTAATTGGAGGGTGTGCAAATCAGCCTTATTCGACGGACGCGCACAGCTCAACCTGGATTGAGTCGAAGGATTTCGAAGGGCGCCTCAGGCAGCGGCCTTATGACTGCAACCATATCACGGAGCACGGCTACGGTGGAAGGCTCTCTTCACACAAGTGTAATGTTGCTACAGCGAGAATCGAATCCTGCACTAACTCAGAACTGAAAGGCGCTTGCTCAGACGATTGTACCACCACAGCCCCGTGTATGTCTGATACATGTAAATGTTGTTATTATAAGAAGTTGAGGACTTGAGGTTAATTATTTTGCAGGCAGCATACAATGTTTCTTCACGGTCATAATTTGCTTGGTTTACAATGACAATTATGACAATTTAGCCATCTGGGAAATAACGAACTATGTGCATGTTCAGGAGCCAATTATTAGTAATTAGTAATTCTCGCGCAAATTATTTGTCGGCGAAACCGGAAAGTATCACATGAAATTAAACCCTATTGAATATCAAATTACGTAAAACTACGTTCTAGATTTTGAATGTAAAATCAATTTTCCGCAATTAAAAAGATCCCTTTTGATATTTTCCTATTCAAAACATTATTTGAATATTATTTGGAGTTACAAAAGGGCGAGGGTTGCTTCGTGCATGAATTTCTAGTTGTATTTAGTAAATAGTATATTTCTTTTTTACCAGAAACAAACTTAAGTCTTTTCAGTTTCACCGTATATACTTAGAATTGTGCATTAAAACACTTTCTTCAGTTCTATATAGCTTTAATTTTAATTGATTCAATTGAATGTTTTATCGTTCATTGTAACGCAACGACTTTGTTCATTTTGTTTTCTCAACTACATACAACTTGTTGGCTGGCGATAGGTGGCGGTAGGATTAATAAGCAACGAAATCTTTCCTGACTGATTTGCAATTTTCTCTATACTTCCCTCCATCTCGACACTTATAGTAACTTGCATTGCTGCTCTCTTAATTCGGAGCATTGTGCCGAACTTGTGTCGGTACACTAAAATTCTCGAATTATGTTTTAGTAAAGTTTAACTATAAACGAAATAAAATCTCACTTTTTACACAAAACTCTCGCTCACAAGTCTCATATGTTCGTTGTTTCTCCCGATCCTCAGGTAGCCCGCGAACAGGCTTGTTTCCCACAGATAACTCAATACCCATATCTATAATATGTTCGTTCACGCTCCCCTCTAAAATTAAACGTTTTTCTTAATTTTATAACTAATATCAACTAGAAAGTTAAAGTTCGCAAACAAATGTCCGACATTATGTCGAGTTCAATTCTTCAATCTTCTTCCTCTTGTGTCAACTGCAGTATTTTACACCTAGCGTCCTTTGCTGCTTGTCTCTTACTCTTTCGTTGTCCGATTTCGTCCGTTTCGTTTGGCTTCGGTTCTTCAATCTCTGTTTCCTTGAGTTCGAGAGAGCAAACAAGAGAAAGCGGCCTTTTAATCGTATGCTCCTTCGTCAAGATCTTTACTCCTCGCACAACGTCGTCCTTCCCCTTGATTAGCTCAACAACCTTTCCCCGTTTCCATTCAGCTCGATTCTTTCCCTCACCGACCACCAACATCATTTCACCTACTTCTGGACACGCATTTCCCCCTTTAATCACTCGATGATGTTCCATCAAACTATGTACGTACTCCGTATTTCATCTTTGCCACGCGTGTTCTCGTTTCTGCTTCATTCGTTTGTGTAACTTCACGACTTCTTCTCCATCATCCGTGTCTGATTCGTCTATGGTATGCACATTTTGTCTCCACAGAAATGTATTTGGTGTGAGCACTTGTTCCTCTTCTTGCTCGCTTTCGACGTACGCTAGTGGCCTATTGTTTGCATTTTTCTAAATATCAATTACGATAGCTTGTAACTGCATGGTCGAAAAATAATGTTGATCTTCCCAGAACTTTATACAGCGCTTTTTCAATGTCCTTAAGTAAGCGTTCGTACATTCCATCCCACCAAGAGGACTTGGATAGATTGAATCTCCACCGAATCTCTTGTCTTGCCAAATAATCTTGCAGTCGTTCACTTTTACGTATCTTTCTGATCGATAACGCTGTCGCTTTAAACGTTCCTCCGTTGTCCGATACAATCTGCTCTTTCTTGCGATGAAGGCGTTTAGCTTTACTTTGAATTCCTCTGTAGATTGTGTCTTCGTCAACTCCAGATGCACGGCTTTGGATATAGCACAAGTAAATATTAGGATGTAGCACTTGCCTTCTTCTTTCTTGGTAAGCTTACATGTGAGGGGTGTAACTCTTACGTTGCTAAATTAGAAATTCTCGACGAGTTACAGGGGTAACGAATGGTACAATTGAATTTTCGAACTCAACAGATGAAAAGGACAAAGCTTTAGTTGACGTTAAACAATGAATAGACTGTTGTTGTCACGAAATGATTGAATTATACTAGCTTGACGAGTTGACGGTAAATCAATTGTTAGATAATGAATCACAAACAATGTAGACGAAGATATACGTTTTGTAGTTTTAATTCACGGTAGTTTCACTCTGTACTTTCACACTGTAGTATCGTAGTGTTGAGGTGGTGAGGTATTGGTGTTGTGTTGGTTCGAACTGAAACGCGACAGCAAAAAGGACTACCTTAATAACGAACTAATATAACTATAGAATTTACGCATGCACATGATAACAATAACAAACCTAAATAATAACAACAATAACTATAAACTTACGTACTTTGGTTTACACTTGTACCAATTATAGCGATTATGATTACGGTAGAATATAAAGTCCCTTGAACTTCGGTAGCGATTTTTACTGTAGCACGGTTCGATTGATTTTAACAATGTTCATACTAGTCACGAACTATGTCTGTAGATATGTCCTAAAGGCATTTCCGCAGTAAACAGATAAGCGCTATGCTAAATAAAGTTCTATTCATGCTAGATAAGGTTCTATTCATGCTAACTTCGTCTTAGATAATAATTAAATTGTAAACAATGACACAATGAACGTTTCAAACCAACAAGGGGACCAGCCACTCGGGATCATTAAACCAACCGTCCTTTTCCATTTTGTCGATCGAAGCTCCCCGACTCCCTAAATCAGCTAAATTTTCCTTTGATGGACAATACTTCCAATTGACGCCTACTTCTTCCGTAATTTCAGCAATCTTCCGAGTCCGATTTGATACAAAGACTTTCCAGGACCTTTCTGGACTTGCAATCCAAAACAAAGCAACCAGGCTGTCCATCCACACTGTAACTGATGCAATTGACCATCTTCTCAATGCGGCAACCAATTCTTAGCCATATTGGCAGCCAACTGACCGCTAACTAATTCCAGCCTTGGAATGGAAATGTTTCTCTTGGCAATTCTGGACTTTGACGTAAGAAGACCTTTAACTATTCCACTGGAATGTTCGATTACTGCTATAGTGACCGCCAAGCACGCTGTGAAACTTGCATCAGCAAATAAATGCAAATGCATGGCTTTCACCTTTCGAATCTCTCTTGCTAAACTTCTCGGAATTTTCACGTTTCTTCTTTTCACGTTTGGATCCTCTGATTTTCCCTTGTAGACTTGATCAGTACGTATTTTGCAATAGGTAGCATCGCCCAATATGACATCGATGGGGTACTCTTCGCTTTCTGACCGATAGAATGTCTTCTCGCGAAGATGCTCGTATTTCTCCTTTAGCTCTATGAAAGTCGGTCTTTTCGCAGTTGTAAAATCTTGCATTTCTGCACCAGTAACCTCGATATTCTCACTTGCACGTCCATCAATTGAATTGATAGTTACTTCAAACACTGGCATTGATGCCTTTTTGGACCCGTTTACAGTTAGGATGTTTCTACTTTCATAGCGCCGGGCTGGTAGTCTTAACTGTCGCACTGCTTCCTTCGAGATGAAATTTCTCCCAGAGCCCGTGTCGAGATATGCTCAAAATGTCTTAACCTTAATTTTAAGTGGCACAATAGCCGGTAAAGACTTCTCTTCAGAGGATGGGGAATATCCATTTAACATTGCGTTGTGGTTTTCTCGATTATTGTTTTCCTGGAGTTTATGGTCTCCCCAGTGCTGTCCTTCACAATAAATACAGACCGGGCCCTTGCCTTTACCATTGGTAAACTCCCCCCCCCCCCTTTTGGGTATACCAGTTTTGCTCCCTCTTTCTTGGGTTTTCATGCTCCTTAGTTGGTACCTCTTCTGTTTTGTTACGCTTTAACCACCCCTGTAATGCTGGTAACAGTTGTTTCATGTTCCAATCTTCCCAATCATCATCAATACGTACTAAATCAGGCTTAACCTGGGGGAGTTTATTTAAGGTAGATACCACCAACCCTTTAACATAGCTTCCTCACCCAACGTTTGCAGTGCGTCATAGTTTTTGCAAAGACTTTCATAAAATTCACATACTTTATCGTAATTTCTTCCTCTCACCGTCTGCAACTTAATAATTTCTTCCATACGAGCTGCAATTACTAATTTATTATGACCATGTTCCATTTTCAACCTTTCCCATGCTGTTTTGTAACCTTCTGACCCCGGCTTCAAGTTCGAAAGTCTACCTCTCACCTTCGGATTCACGAGCTCTAACAGGCATCCAAATTTCTCAGCGTCCGAAATGGACTTGCTGTCAACTTATGAGGCAAACATATTCTCGAACCTTATCCAGTCAGCAGAAGTCCCATTAAAGGGTAATATTTTCAACTCTGGTAGTTTCGATGTACTTGTTCTAGCTTCCTTCGCCATCTTTCTGATCGCCACTTTTTCCTCAGCTCTCAAGTTTTCATGTCTCTGTCCATCGTCTAGTACCCTACACAACCTCCGTGTTTCTCACATAGTGGTGCATACTCTGCCTTCAAATCTTTTGTCCACTGTCTAATAGATCTTTGTGTTGAATTTCCCAGCTCAATTTTTAATTCTTGTAAATGCGAGTAATTCTTGTAAAGTCGTTCATATTATCTTGAATCTGCTGTGTTCGCTTGCATACTTGTTTGATTTCATTAAAATCCTCACTTTCCAATAATTCGTCGACGTCCTCGAGATAAAACTGCAGCTTTTCAATCTCTTTTCTAATCTTTTTCTCCTGGTCTTTCTCCTCTTGAGTGATTTCTACCGTATTATTCTCCTCAATTTCTTGTTGTTCGTCCGCTATCTTGGATTTCGTAATACCCTCAAATTCTCGTCTTTATCCGCAAATATTTCGTTGTTCAATCCTGGTCACGGCACCAAAATGTGCCGAACTTGTGTCGGCACACTAAAACTCTCGTATTACGTTTTAGTAAAGTTTAATAAACGAAATAAACTCTCACTTTTTACACAAAACTCTCGCTCACAAGTCACAAGTCTCACATGTTCGTTGTTTTTCCCGATCCTCAGGTAGCCCGCGAACAGGCTTGTTTCCCACAGTAACCCAATACCTCTATCTATAATATGTTCGTTCCGCATTGAAAGATAAGAAAAGAAAACTTAATTACCTGCTAGTTTTTGTCTTTTGCTCTCTGATTTTGGTGCTCCAGAATCCAACGGTCTTTTGTTATGTACATCTAATTAATAAAAAGCAAACATTGAACGTTATTTAATACTTAAAATGTCAATGAGCAGGAAGTAAAGCACAGTTCACGCCCGTCAGTCCAAATAATGACGTTCAATAGACAGCTCTTCTCTATTGAATAATCTTTCAAAATGTAAAGCCACATTCTTTATCTACCCCAACTAGAAATACATGCATGCAGCAACCCCGCCCCTATATTTTCTAAACAATGATTTAACATTATATTTTTTGTGTGTGTTTTGATGTTATGTACTCAGGTGAATATAATGTTTTTGATGTTACTCTGCCTGTATATCCACACCGGGTAGGCTGAAAAGTTAGGTGACCACGGTCAAAACACACACACAAAAAATATCATGATCACAGAACACATTGGTATCGAAGGTACTAGACTTAGTTCCGAAATACCACACACTCGAACAGACTTGGCCTCGTAGCTCAGTTGGCAGAGCATTGGACTGGTATCCCAAAGGTCGCGGGTTCGATTACCACCGTGGTCACTCATGCAGGCTAACTTTTCAGCCTGCCCGGTGTGGATATACACTCAGAGTAACATCAAAAACACAATGATTTAACATGAAGCGAATTTTGATTTAATGTAAACTTTTCACCATAATTTAACTATAAACTACGAAGGACAGATGGTGGAAGCGCGTTTCGTCTCACCGCAGAGTCAAACACATTAGAAGATCGTGTGTTAGACTAAACTCTAACTTTATTTATACAAGATAGCTTTATCACTAATCATTAGTGGTGCACAGTCACTAAAATTAAGAGGAAAGCTACTTTAAACAGGATAGTTCAATCAGTTCCAAACTGTTTTCGTTGGAGGTTCAGTAAGGACATTTGGACATGCATCCTTGATTTCTCCAGTGCAGTAAACTAACTTTATTAAAAAGGAACAAACTTTGACGGCCAGTATTTGTAAGTAAGTTGAATCCTTCAAAGATGTTCGTCATAATTTGATTGCACATAAATTCTGAATTGTTCTTCTTCGACTTCCAATAAAGAACATTCGTCAATGCTTCAGTGTTACTACAGAAAAGTATTTTAATGTTCCCGTAATAGGCTGCTGCAACCTATATATAATGAGTGTATGTTGCTCTATTGTTCAACTTACACCACTAGTGGTAAGATATGTGATAGCAGGTATAACACGTTTGAATCAGTCGTATAATGTTCACGTTCATATTCACAGCCACCAGCAGAATATTAATAAACCATGTGAAGCGGATGTGAGGAAATATTAAAATTCCAAAGTCAAAATGGATGCATATATGTAACGTATAATCGAAAGTTAAACACCTTTTGAAGAAGGCTTAATTAATTATCAGACTGGGATCGAAGTCGTCGACATACATTCATGCTTTTAATAACTTTCATTCCCTCGGTGCGTAGAATCTTGTTTTTCCAGTAAAAGATTAAGCAGTTAAATGTTGCATTCATCGAGGCAATGGTGCTGACCCAGAGAGCTCCAATACTTTCCAATGTCGATGCATCTTGCGAGGTTATCCCTAGGCCAATGTAGACGAACGCAGGAATACTTAGCACAACAAAACAACTGACTGCTAGCAAGCAACTCGATATACGTTTCCAAGAAAACGATTTGTTCATCCCTGGAGAGATTTCGTTGTTCCTACGACTTTTCCTGGCAATTGTGAACAATTTGTAGTTGATGAACAACGTTGGGGGAAAGAGAATAATGAAAAATATTAAAACAACAACTTCATACGAAATAACAAAGTTGTTTACAGATATCACTTCCAAAGTAATATTGACAACAATTAGTATTGCAAGAAGAGTTAAAAGTCTTCCCTTCGTTACCGATGTTCGATGAAATATAGGATAAGATGTCGCCAAATATCGATCAAAATTCATAAGTGTAAGGAAATACGCAACCAACTAGGGTATACATCCACCTTTCCACTCATCCAAAACATCGTGATAAAAGCCATCAATGGATGATTAGTTAAAACCACAAGCAAGTCGCAACAGGACAACACCATGATCATAAAATAGCATAATTTCTTTCGAAGTTGTGGAGATCTCCAGAGACTGAGTATAACCACGGAATTCAAACATATTCCTGAGAAAAAGAAGAATATGTTCAAAGCAAATATGAATATAACGTTGATAACATAGCTTAGCATCATTGTCATTGACTGTTTTTGTATAGGTAAGCAAAAACAGTATTGTGTGCATCTATGACAACATAACGTTTATTATTTAAAGCTGGTATTTATTACGGGAATTAATGCCATCTGTGCTTTTTAACAGGATGCTCCGCTTTTTGTTCTGAAACATTTAGAGCACCGTTCTGAAGTGTCATGGAGTGGACACACGGATCTGGAAGAGCATATCATGCAGCATGCATGCATGCATGCGGGGAAAATCAATAGATTGCATAGTGGCATTTTCAGCAGTATACATAAAGTTGATGAACAACATTAGAAGGGCGCAAATAATAAAAAAGTGTAAACTTGGGTGGAAATTGAATAATATCGTTGAGAGATAGCAACCCAAAACTAAGTTCGGTAATAATCAGTATTGCAAGAAGAGTTGAAAGTATTCCCTTCGCGTCAGCGACGTTCGACGAAAGATATAGAATAGAATGTCGTCAAATATTGATCAAAATTCGTGAACAAAAGAGGGAGTAAAGAAAGAAAGAAAGGTTGGAAACATTTGTTAACCAGCTTAGGGAATGCACCATCCGGCGAGCATTTATATCCAACTTTCCAGTCAAGTAAGACACCGCGAGAAGTGCAATCAATGGATAATTAGTTAAAGCGGCAAGAAAATTGCAAAACGACAAATTAAACACTTCTGGTAAAATAACATCGCTTCATTTTAGCTCAATCCTCCAGAAAGTGAGTATGACCAATGGGTTTAAAGATAGTCCGGAGAAAAAGAACAATACGTTTGCAGCAAACATGAATAACGTGTTAATAAAATAAAATAAATTAACTCCTATAGAAAACAAAAACAATTTAGCTACCGGCGCCGTCGTGTTTAATATATTCAAGTGTCTTTAAATTATTATGGCATATGTCTATAAATATAGCTGATTATCACGACGCACTTTTCACAAAAGTGCATGTGATTAAACGCAACGTTATTATAGTGAATTGCCTCTGCGGTATCATTTGTGTATGAATAGCTGAGAATAGTTTCGATATCTATATGTTCATGATGTTCGTATACTAAGCAAACGCGTTTGAAAATTGAGATTTGAAAATTATAAGTCAAGTGTTTGCAAGCTAGATCACGCGTGTATACAATTCAAAAAAGGTTGTCCTTTGCAAACCTTAAAGACCATGTCAAGTCCGTTCTGCGCATCAGTTTTGCTCATAACAAAGGGGGACCCACAGATATAAACATTGCCCAAGTTTTGAATCTTTTGAACTTTTTTGAATTGAACATAGCGAACCAGAAAAGTGTTAGATATTCTAAATCATTACTTTAACTTTAAGCGCGCAAAGCTTAATGGGAGCACAAGTTTCAAGCTTAGTAATGAATTGTTCTCATAAGGAGACATTTACTAGGTTTCTAAGAAATGGGCCCTATATGTGACTTCTATAAACTGACAAAATGATGCTCCCATTATGCTTTGCACCTTAGATTTAAGGTTCAAGTTTGGAGTTTACAGTAAGGTTTGCAAAGGACAACCTTTTTTGAATTAGTTGTTTAATATATTTATACACAAATACATACATACATACATACATACATACATACGTACGTACGTACGTATGTATCTATCTATCTATGTACGTACGTACGTACGTATCAATGTACGTACGTACGTACGTACGTACGTATGTATCTATGTATGTATCTATCTATCTATCTACGTACGTTAGATAGACGTACGTACGTACGTACGTACGTACGTTAGATAGATAGATAGATAGATATTTTATATATATATATATATATATATATATATATATATATATATATATATATATATATATATATATATATATATATATATATATATATATACACTGGATCCAGAAAAGCTTGACCTTCGAATATATATATGTCGGCCATTTTGAATTTTCTTGGGTTAATTATACGCGAACGCATACATCAAATGTCGCTCGCAACGTATTGTATATTGCAATATTATTCCAACAGCTCAAATGAATAAAAGAATCATTGATTGATGTCTTTGCACATAATCATAATGGCTAGTAGGAAATAAACATTTGGAAATGAACATAATGGCTAGTAGGAAATGAACGTTTCTGCTTCGCCAGGTCACGAATGCTGCGCGTGCTGAGTTTCAGGGGATGAAATATCGAATGACTATCGATTCCGTTAAAATTTCCGTTGGCAAAATATAATAATTCTGGACGTAGGTTA